GTGTGTGCGTCTGTGTGTGCGCGTGTGTGTCCTTCCTGCACAGCACCAGGAGCGCTGAAACACAGCAGGACTCTGGTTCTGGAAAGGTGGCAGTCTGCTTCAGCGTCCTTATCTCCAGTGAACCAATCGTGACCCTGAACCTCAACTTGAAGCTGAACCTGAGGTGCTGTTGGATCCAGGTGACTCCTCCCACCTGTACAGGTACAGTTTACACTTCATTTATAGATCACATGTCTGAGACTTAAAGCTGAGTGTTTAGCTCAGGTAACAGGATCTATTTTTCAATTCCTGTTATCAGCTTAATATAGGAGCTAATCAACTAATGACCAAACTAACATGACCAGGTTATCTCGAGGCCACGCCTTCTTCTCCTCCACAGGTAACCCATCCCTCATCTCTGTCTGTGTCACAGGAAAATACCGTACCGTCAGCTGAGCAGAAGCTTTTTTTGTGGTGACAACGCAAGTGTTCTGCATCAGGCTCCTCCCACTGGTGACATCGCAGCTGTGTGGATATAAAGAGCGATGAGCGGCAGAGGGACCTGCGCGTCATGTGGTGTCGAGGTTTCCTGCAGCAGACGGTCAGACATGTTTCCAGCAGGCAGGTCAGTGTATGTGTTATGACATCCTATGAACCCAGACTGATAAGTATTGATAATCTATTGGTCGTGTCTTACTGTTCGTCGGACCACAGCAGGCTTCTTCACATGATGGAGGAAAAGTGAATAACTTGTCTTTCTCTCTCGTACCTGTCCATCAGGCGGGCGTCATCTTCGATGTGGATGGCGTCCTGGTGCGTGGGTCCGCCGTGATCCCAGCTGCTCGGCGAGCTTTCAGGAAGCTCCTGGACAGTAACAACAACTTCCTATTTCCCACTGTCTTCGTCACCAATGCAGGAAGCTGCCAGAGACACCACAAAGCCCAGCAGCTGTCTCACCTGCTGGACGTCCAGGTAGGAGGCTGCAGAACTTCCTGTTTCGATTCCAGCTGTGTAGGCGCCGTTTATCGATCGATTATTTAAGCTTTTTTGGACTCTTACGTATAATTTAACACAGTCAGCCTGTTTCCTCACCTCTCAGTGAGCCTCCTCCCTACCTGTGTGTGTGTCTCAGGTGATTCTGGTAAAGTTAATCTGCGCTCACCGTGTTCTCGCTGTGGAAGCTGTGACACGGCTGCACAAACACACTGAGGGCTTCTCCGTGTTCACGGGACTCTGTTGGGCTTTAATGTCATTAATTTATAACTTTAAGAGGTCCCATGACTCTAAATTCAACTCAGGAGGTGATGAAGAGGAGAGAAGGAAGACAGCCCTAACATCACATGACTGTCACATGGTGCGAGGGGTTGGCTCTGGTTGGTAGAGCTGCTGATACGAGTACCGATACTTTTACTCTTTAAAGGCAGCTGATGCAGGAGAGCAGAATCATCTATCTGCTAATTCTGAACACTTTTTACTGACCATTAAATCACCGTGACTTTGACTTTACACAATAATGAGTTAACACAATAAAACACACCTTTCAGCTCTTATTTTGAAGAGCTGGATGTAACTGTTCCTGTCTCTGAGCAACTCAGTTGACCCGTGTCACGACTCATGTGTGTTATTCTTGTTGTGAATGTTATGAATTTAACACCTTTAACCTCCGTTACAAATGAGCCCGTGTGGCTCAACACTGTGTAACATGATGTCAGACAGTGACATTTATTCAAATTAGTTCATTGTTTTGACATGAACATTTTTAAAGCTGTCAGTGTTCACGTGTTAACAGTAACGCGATTAACATTCATGTGGATCGCAGAACGGACAGACTTTGGATAAACTGACAGAGACATTTCAGGGACTTCGAGTCATTCTGCGCTCCAGATGGGTTACTTGTGTTAAAAATTTTAATTGCATTATGTTAACATTGACAGCCCTAAAATGTTTTAATTCATTGTGTTGTTGCTCATATCTGTGCTGTGATTGGACGCCAGGATTCATCCTACATCCTGACTTGAATGTAGAATCATGGGACCACTTCAAGTCTACAGCGCCTCCGAGGGTCCATTTTTAAAGCCTGGCTCACACTAAAGAACATCAGCGCGTCACTTTGTCTCGTGGAGGCGCCGTCAGTGGCTGGGTCCATCTTTTATCTACAGCTGTTCTTCGGACCACTCATGTCTCCCTCTGTCTGTAGATCACGCCGGAGCAGGTGGTCCTTTCCCACAGTCCTTTGCAGATGATGAAGAGTTTCCATGATAAATGCGTCCTTGTGTCTGGACAGGGGCCGGTGACACACATCGCCAACACGTATCCTCCTCAAAGTTCATCAGGGTCAAAAAACTGCAGACAGGACCTCATCCTGGTGCTCACAGAGAGATCACGAGGAGTACCAGGAAGCAGGTTTAGCTGCAGCTCTGAGTGCGCTAACCCTGAGATGAAGGAAACTTTTCTGTTCCAGAAATACTGTTAACATCTACTCTGAGTCAGTTACCATGGTAACAGACTCCAAACTAACCTGCTGGCTGCCATGGTTTCTCTCTGACTCCTCCCCTCTGCTGCACCTGAACCAGCCAAATGACTCATTTCCTCATTCAAGTCAATTCTGTCCAAGCTCAGAACAGACAATTAATCTGCAGATGTTTTTATAAAAACTATGATAATCAATCACACTGATCAATCATCTGGTTCATTATAATCAATCACTCTGATGGATAAATGGATCTTATTTGAGTGAAGTTCAGGCTGAGATGACTTTAAAACTAAAGCTGAACTAAATGTGTTTAAAGTCACTGCAGACAGTCTGACTGTAATCGTGAAATGTAACCACTGAAAATCACCTGAGTCAGCCTCGGCAGGTCGACCCAGAACCAGATCAGCCAGAACATGGGCTCCGTGACGGATCAGCAAACCGAGTCCACTTGCACAGCAGGATGGATCCAAACAGATTTTTGATCAGGGATTCAGATCGGATTCGTCCCAGATCCAGGTCTGCTCGGTCATTTCCCAGCTGATCCCGTTTGTTTTGTT